ATTCCTGCCTAACAAATAATAATAATTAGCATACAAAATTAACCGTCCAAACTGCCCAAAACTCCACTGCTTCAAGTTCATTGACCTATTCCCATCTAACACTCGTTCAATACCACCCAAATACAAAATCAAAACATAGCATAAAAGAGCCTAATATTTTTACAATCAAAACATTGAAATCACTTTTATCAGGCTAAAAATAAAATATCCATGCCAAAATCCATTTATAGAATTCCATCAAAATAAAATCCTTAAAGTCATGTCCAAAATTCCTGCCTAACAAATAATAATAATTATCATACAAAATTAACCGTCCAAATTGCCCAAATGTCCACTCTTTCAAGTTCATTGGCCTAATCCCCTGGAACCTATCTCTTTCTAGACCACTTCCTCTTAAGTGACTAGCTAACTCTTTTGCTCTACTTTTTCTTTCCGACCCCCCTTTCTGAAAACCAATCCTTATTTTCTCGACAGATGCTCATCCGATTTATTTTCGGACAAGTCCTTCTTAAATGCCCTTCTTCATTACAATTAAAAAATTTTGGGGTCCATCCTCCTACGTTCCCACTATTTCTCGCTGGTATTTTTGGGACCCCCTTCCTAAATTGTTCCGTTAAATTGTTTTTATTCCTACTAATTGTTTCGGCTTGGAGAATCCTTCTACTTGTCTCGTGACCTCTGTATTCCGGAGCCCGCTTTTCACTCATTTTCCCTCCCCTATTTCGGAATCCTACGTCAAGGTTTTGGGGTCTTGCCGCCACTACATTATCTAACTCCTGCCCTAAATCTGACACCCCCAACTATCCATCTGATTCCTTCAAATATATGAGGGATTTCAGCTCCTGAGGTAAACTATCCTTTATCCTATCTGTCACTACCAATTCCTTCAATTGTTCTAATGTCGTGACCCCCCTCGACTCCATATAAATCTCTAAGGACTCCTTAATTTTAACTCCGAATTGAGTATAAGACTCGTTAATCCTTCTGTAGCAGTTATCAAAATTGTTTTTATGCTGAAGGGGAGTTATTCTAAATTCTTTCAGTGTGATTTCTTTAATTTTTTCAAAACTTCCCAAATCCCCTTCCGCTAGATTTGCGCTCAGCCCCCTTACTTTGCCCCTTAAAGCTACCACCATTATTCTCCCTCTATATTCCTCGGGCACCTTATAGAAATTCAGAAAAAACTCCGCATCTCTAAAATAAAAGCCCCATTCCTCCGCCTTTGTCGGAGGTTCCCCTAAAGCCTTGGTCAAAGTGTTTAAGTGTCTATGAAAAGTGTTCTCTTGGTTTGTACTATTGTCCTTCTTCTGAAGATCATTCTCCTCATTTGCACCCCTCACCTAATCCTTCTACTTGTCTCGTGACCTCTGTACTCCGGAGCCCGCTTTTCACTCATTTTCCCTCCCCTATTTCGGAATCCTACGTCAAGGTTTTGGGGTCTTGCCGCCACTACATTATCTAACTCTTGCCCTAAATCTGACACCCCCAACCATCCATCTGATTCTTTCAAATATATGTGGGATTTCAGCTCCTGAGGTAAACTATCCTTTATCCTATCTGCCACTACCAATTCCTTCAATTGTTCTAATGTCGTGACCCCCCTCGACTCCATATAAATCTCTAAGGACTCCTTAATTTTAACGCCGAATTGAGTATAAGACTCATTAATCCTTCTGTAGCAGTTATCAAAATTGTTTTTATGCTGAAGGGGAGTTATTCTAAATTCCTTCAGTGTGATTTCTTTAATTTTTTCAAAACTTTCCAAATCCCCTTCCGCTAGATTTGAGCTCAGCCCCCTTACTTTGCCCCTTAAAGCTACCACCATTATTCTCCCTCTAAATTCCTCGGGCACCTTGTAGAAATTCAGAAAATACTCCGCGTCTCTAAAATAAAAGCCCCATTCCTCCGCCTTTGTCGGAGGTTCCCCTAAAGCCTTAGTCAAAGTGTTTAAGTGTCTATGAAAAGTGTTGTCTTGTTTTGTACTATTGTCCTTCTCCTGAAAATCATTCTCCTCATTTGCACCCCTCACCTCTAATTCTTTCATTCTTAACTCATGCTCCCGTTTCCGCTCCTCTCTTTCCCGTTCCTCTCGTTCTAATCTTCCTTCTACAATCATACCCAAAACTTCTTTAGTAAGCTGTTCGTCGTAACCTGAATTCTCAGTGATCAATGCCCTTATCTCAATAAGCTTGGCGTTCTCGGGAACCGTTATCCCAAACTCCTCCTTAGCTAGCACTATCAGATCTTCCTTTTTTGCTCTTGCAAGAAAACTCATATTGACCGTATTAATTTAAGTTCTCAACCACTAAAAAAAATATTCCCATTTGAAATAAAATTTTAAAAAAACACTTAGCAACACCTTCCCCCCTACTCATACACCGACATTCTATTATGAAATTTAACACTTCATATGGAAACAAAACATGTTCAACACAATTTGTATCATGCAATATTCAACATTACTTCTCAATACACACAAATACAAGTTACTCTTTTCAACTTTCATTGCAAAATAATAAAATTTCGTACTCTTTTGGTACGCCTAGAATATACACCTTTACTTTCCCCAAAATTAAAACTCTTAAATTTCATAGATTCTACAGTCATAATAATTAACCATTTCATCATTTAAACAAAAGCAAACCCCTTCCTTGACCTTTTTTTCTGGTCCAAAATTATTTTAACAGAATGCATTATAAATAATAATCACTACTAAATAATAATAAACCAAGAACCTTGTTTACTCAGCTCGCTATTGACATATAAAAACACAATCTTTAAATAATCCTACCCTTTTTTACAAGTTATTAAATCAATACTCTTCTTCCTTCATATATACTCTTAATAAAGCAATAAAAAAAAATTACCCTCTTAACAAACCAACCACTAAGTTACTTAAAAAAAAAACATCAAATCATTACTTATTATACTTATCAATAATAATCATACTCATTAATCACGCAAACAATACTTAACTGGCCAATCCCTTAAGCTCAAATAAAATAACACATCAGGTTGACTTTAAACCAAAACAAAATAAACTTATCCCCTTAACCAACTACCCTTTTTGTTAAACTTCTACCCAGAAATGTGAGCGTGTAATTTATCTTTTCATGCATGGGATAAAGCTTACCTCCCTTTATCTTTTCAATTGTCCTCTTTGTCAGAGAGTCGATGTTGAAACCACACTCTATGGTCACCGGTCACGGGGGGTAGCGCTGGCTGCCTATCGCCTCCGGCGATAATAGTCCCTTTCCAGTACCGTCTCTTCAACTCCCATCGATGTTGTCAGTCCGCAGTCACCCTTTCCTTAAGGCAATCTTTCCAATCTTTTTCACTAGGCATTTCCGTAGGCATCCTTCTATCAAGACAAACTCCATGAGGCAACACTCTTTATTACTGGGCATTTCTCATAGTGGGCATCGGCGATGATTCTTTTCTCTAGCATAGCAGTCCTCCTTCCATCCTGGCGAGGATCCTGTTGCGCTGCGACAATTTGTGAGAAGGAGAGGAATCAGGATCCTGACAAATACTAAGAGAATTTTATAAATTTAGAAGTATTTAGGTAAGCAATTTTTCATATTTATTAATAAAGTTTAAAGCTTTTAGAGGTTTGAGGGATTAATTGTTAAATTGCGTGCCCTAAATTTATCCCATCCATAGTAACGGCTTAATAACGCAAAGAAATTAAAAAAAGATTTTTTTTACTCATATTTTTAAAAAAATGTTTTCAAAACTATTTGGAATGAAGTTTTACCTTCCAATTCAAAAAATATGATTCAGTATTCAGAGCTTTACATTAGTATTTTAAAAAATTATTAGTTATATATAAAAAAAAAGCTTAAAAAGTGTCGTATTAGTATTATATAAATTAGTATTGTATATATTAGTATTATATAAAAAATTAGTATTATATAAAAAAAGCTTAAAAAGTGTCGTAAAGAAACCCCACTTTACCTTACATTGAAAGATTATTTATTTTCCTTTATTTCTCTTTTACCATATTCATTTTTTTCCCTTTAGATTATCAGAATAAGAAAGAAATCAATGCTCCTTAAAAAAAAAATAATAATTTTTAAAAGCTACATCTTGCTAAGCTACAAATTGTGATTGCACAAGAAAAAAAAAACCCCAGGATTACTTTTGATTTAATGAACGAATTAACACTTACTATTAGGAGTCAATCTTAAAGGTGGGAGAGGGAAACTCCAAATTAGATAGTGCAGGTGATATTTCAAGTTTACGAAATCAGACCCAAAAACTACTCTCTCTGTGAACAAACACACTTTTTTTCCGACTGTTTATGATTCATGACCATCAAAATATAGAGGAGTAGCCACAATCGGGAAAATATGGTGCCAATAACTTAGTCAGGAAATTGGTCGACAGTTTGAACCCCTTTATGTCAATTTTATTTTTTGCGTATTTCCCCTTATCTCGAGAACTTTTTAAGCAAAATTTTTGTAAAACAATTTTGAAATTCGCTTATCCATAGATAATTCCTTAAATCCCACCAGCTTATCCATTGATAATTCCATAAATAAATGATTTTTAATAATTTTTTATTTATATTCTATTTAATAATGGTAGAAAATTTTTTAAATTGCAACGTATACAATTTTTTACGTAATTTTAAAGAACGTAATTTTAAATAGCGAATTACAAAATTTGGGCGAAATAGAACGAATAATTTCTGAGAAATCTTTAAATCCTGAGAAACCATCAAAAGATGATAGGTGCGATATATCAGAGGTACTTTTCCCGATTTTTAACGATTCCTTTTTTTCTTTTCTTTTTAATATAAAGCTTTTCATGCTTTAAGGGGGATTTCCCCAGTATATATTCACCTGGAATCATATCTCGTGATTTGATGAAAAAAAGAAAACCTTTAGATAACATTTTTTCTTTTTTCTAAATACATTATCGGCAGATAAGAAGAACACCAAATGATTAAATCATTTCACAAGAACTCTCTAATTCGAACAATAAAGGTGATGAAAACCATGCGAGGGATACAGCTGGATGGGATAGAGATAAGAAAATAGAAACTGCGCACAAATAGTTTCTTAATGAGTTTCAGTTTGTGTTTGGTTTTTTCTATATTTAGTTCGTAATTCTAACAGTCAGTTTAAGAAAATCGTAAGAGATGGGTGTGAGAGGTTTAACGAGTTTTATTGAGGCTCATCCGGAACTCACTAAGCCCTATAGACTCCATGATTGTACGGTGGTTATTGATGGAAATAATCTAATTCATTTTTTGTATTCATTTTATAAGATTAATTGTGCTTACGGAGGTGATTACAACACGTAAGTAAAGCTTTTGAATTTTTCGTTTTTTATAAACGTTTAAGAATATTGATTAAAATTTTTTGTATCTACTTTTATATCAGATTGAATGATATCACTTTTTCTGACTTAAAAATTTTCCAATAATTTTTCAAAATTTTTTTTACTGTGAAAAGGGTATTCCTGAAGTTTTTTCGAAGTAAGCAAATTTTATAATTTTTGAAAGAATAAAATGTCCATTGAATAAAAGTCTATTGAAATGATTTAAAGTCTAGTGTTCCTAGTCTTAAAATAAGGCAGTTTTTAATCGAAACCTTCCTGGTGTTTCTATACATTTCGAAACTTGTTATTAGTGAAAAATTCAGTATGTAGTTGCATGTTATTCACATTGNTCATTAGAACGAAAGTTATTCAGGGTGATATCTTTTTTTTTTTGCGGACTGTACATGGAGCAAAGGAGACAAGTTTACAGATTCATTTTTATTAAGCAAGTGCGCACTTTTTTCACATGGAGCCTATAGTTATTATTTCTTTCATAAGTATGGATTCATTTTATAAATAAAGAGTACATTTCTAACTAATTAACGATAATATATACGCAAAGAGATTCTTTTATTATGTAAAAGAGATTATTTAAAGTTCTTTTTTTTTGCATACTTCTTGTCGCAATATACAATGGAATCGGAATCAAACTTGTAAACTCGGCTGGTTTGACATTCGACATAAATAATATCAAAGCTCGACATCAGGAATTATTAATTAATAAGTTTGTATTCAACTAAAGATATTAATTAAATAATTAAAATTCATAGTCTGTAAGAAACTTTGGTGTTTGGGGGTAAGCTAAGTACATTAGCTAGAGAAATGTAGTTATAAATTTAAAAATTATAATTGACAAAATAACAATTGTTTAAAAAAATTAATGTGAATAAGTCACTAAAAATGTGCTTGTTTTTTAAGCAAAATGTTTTTGGAACTAAGCGATTAAATCGATTCTCATGCGCATGAAAAAATGTGTTGTCACTAAACAAACAGACAAAAAATGAAAAAAATAAATAAAAACTATAACAGTGAAAAAGTATAAAAAAATGTGACTGTTATAATGCTACTGCAATACTAAAATTTTTTCACTGTGTATTATTAATATATTTATATATTAATAATATATTTATATATTTATATATGTCTTTAAAAATATTTATAATTAATTTTTGTTTATTACATAAAACCGAGCAAAACTTAGCTACAGATGTGTTTATTAATGTAATTTTTTCAGACATTGAATTGCTTTTAAATGATTGAAAACCAGAATAGAAACACTTTCTCTTGTAGATCTTATTAATTCCGATCATCAAGTTTCATTTTATTGTATTACTCTTTAATCAATTACTACTCAAAACGTCAGTGAATACGAGCTAATTACACCTTGTTTACCGATACTATTGACGAAATGTAAGATTTTAAAAGAAAAAAAAAACCTATAATGATTTTGAGTATTTTTAATGCAACAATGTACAAAGTTGCATCGATAAAGTTTGTCACTAGCAGCAAAATGAGAAGAATATAGGCCGATAGGCTCTCTTATATTATATTGTCTGACGCCAAGGTCTGACATGTCCGAGGCATGTAAATATTCCGATAGAGCATTTGTTTTTTCCTCTTGAGAGGCACGTAAGAGTAAGGAATATCCTGAAAATAGTATCCTCAAGAAAGAAAAAAGAAGGAAGGGTGATCGGTATTTCTAATATCCAATCAGAAATACTGTAAAATAGTAATTAAGATCCCCACAAATTTTAGCGAAAATCGTCAAAATTTCATTTGGGAAGAGAAAAAAAAATTGCCCCAAAAGCTTTACATAAAAAAATAATATAAAGGTTTGCAGTACAGTCTTAAAGTGAAATAGTGAAGGGCCTGCACTTGCCGATAGTACTTAATAAATTCGATAGTATTAAAAACTATCGACAATATTAAGGCAGTTTTGAGCTCTTTCGAACGCTGATATGCGCATCAAGATATTTGAAAAAAATATTGTGCATAAAATAAAAAAGAAATTTGTAACATAGTATTTTTTTTATAGTGATTTCCAAATAAAACAAATTTTCTTTTAATTTCAGATTTGCCACCAAATCAAAGTCTTATTTTTCAACATTTAAAGAGTGCAACGTGAAGCCAGTTGTCGTCATTGATGGTGGTCTCGATAAATCCGATCTAACATTTCCAAATCAGATGGAAAGATGGAAGGATAGAATCATTCGAGTGGAACAAGCATCTGCTACAGGAAAAAGTACTCATCCCTTTCTTCCAACAAATGCAATCGAAGATTTCAAGAACATTCTTTCAAATCTTGACATCCCATTTACACAGTGTGAGTACGACAGTGACGCTCAAATAGCAGCTCTGGCGAACCATTTCAACTGCCCCGTTCTTAGCGACGATGGTGATTTTTTCATATTCGATGTCATAAGTGGTTACATAAAACTCTCTAGTTTCAGTAATTTTCTGGTGCAGACATTAGAAGACAAGATTACAAAATATTTTACGTGCAAAATTTATCATTTAAGTACATTTCTGTCGCATTATCCGTTAGTGGACAAAAGCACTTTACCACTTCTGGCTTGTATTGCTGGCAATGATTATTTTAAATTCAACAAAATAAAAGCAATAGCTCAACATGTTTATCCTGTACAAGGACAGAAAATACCACAAATTCTGAAATGGCTCAGCAATCGTAACTACAATGAAGCTGTCGAACAGTTGTTGCATTATATCCACACAGAAAGCCGAGAGAAGTTCAGAATATTGTTAGAGCATTCCGCGAATTCTTATCGGGTAGAAAATTTTGATTTATCATATTTATTTGAGAAAAACAGCCCTTCGTGTGCTACCAAATCAATTTTACATTCAAAGCTTGTCACTCCATGTGGTACGCCATTTCCCAATGAATATATATTGAATCATATCAGGGGAAATATACCATCTTATTTTTTAAACGTGATGAATTTGCACCGAATTTTCCATTCTCCTCAAGTAGGAGATCTCCACGAGCACGGTAGCTCCAAGTGCAGTCGTTTTGTTCGTCGAGTTCTTTATGGAGTTCTTTTTCAACATGAAACTTCCAACTTTGAATATCATGAATTAGTTTGCTTGCGTGACGTCTGTGAATATGACACGTACAAAGGAATGGAAGTATGTTTCAAAATTAAACCTTTATTTGTGCTTCCTAGTGGAAAAACCGTCCCTAAACTTTACGAAATAAAACTTATGAGCAAAACAGACAGACTGGAGATTTTAGCCGAGGTGATGGGCGTTAAGAAAGTCTACCTTAGAACAATTCTCCCCAATTGGCAACTTTTATTCGGGGTCATCAAGTATTGGCTGCAACACTGCTCACCTAAGCCTACCAAAGAATTTTTAGTAGCTTTATTGTTAAGCCTTATTTACTTCAATGTACTATTGAAACCGAATTTGAAAATTAACAATGTGAAAGAGAACGCTTTTGATGATCTAAAAAGAATTTATTCTCTACTTGATAAAATCACGCCAAGCGAGTCTCTCTCTGCTGTTACAAATTTGGAGAAATATGCATGTCTACGCATTTTAAATGGGAGATTTGATGTCTCCGTCATTCAAAATTACAATCAATTGCAAAGTTGCTTAGCGTATGCTATATCATTGAATAAACTGTTGGCATCGCCGTTAAAATCGCCAAATATCAGTGAAATCTTTGAAGGCACCATGTTACATAATCTGACCAAAAAACTTACAGCGGTTCGTGACTCAAAAAGTTTCATTAAATCTTTGTTGGGAGATAGAACACCGTGTTATAAAATTTTTATCCTTCTTTTAGAGAAAGTATTACAAAACGTTTCAAACGATTTTCCTTGGGAAAAGACAGTTAGAAAAGTAGAAAGTTCAAAGATAAGAACTTCTAAAGTAGTGCTTACTCTTAAAAACGACATAAGCGTTTCTAACAAATTTGAATGTTTAAATATTTCTGTGGACTGATAAGAGCTGTACAATTAAAACTTAAGATTGCTCTGACTTTGGTGAAAGGATGCTCTTATTACCAGAAGACACAATTATCATGTCTATTATGATTGGGAGCCATGATATTTAGATAAATGTTGTTTAATATAAGTATTATAGTACTTTTTTTGTAACATATTTCCATAATTTTTTAATATTTAAGTTGTTTTCTAACTGTGCTGAATTAGAATATCTATGTTTAATTTAGATTTTTTTCAATTATTATTCGCTCAGGTATGATACTTGTTACCTTTGCTGGAATTTTTTTTATTAAATTGTGTACACAGTGTGCAAAAAAAAAATGGAACACAATGAATAACTTTTGCTCTAGTGATCGGATTTTCACATACTAGGACTCAATCTTACTGGCCTGACTTCAAGACTTTCAAGAGTCTCAAATACACCTCAAATATACAAAATAATTAATGCGGATGATATTTTAAATTACGAAATCTGAGGCAAAAACGCACTTTCTTTGAACAATTTTTTCCCCCGACAGATTCTAGACTCTGAAAATATAGAGGGTTGCCGTAATCTAGAAATTATGATTCCAGTAGTTTGGAGCTCTTTAATGTTAATTTTACTTTCTGCTTATTTAGCTATCGAGAAATTTTATGGCAAGTCGAAAACTTTTTGCGCAGAATTTAAAAATTCGTATATTCAACGAATAATTCCATGCAAAAAATAACTTTTAGTTAACATTTATTATTTTATTTAATAACAGTCTAAAAATTTTTGACTTGCAAGGTATGCAATCTTTTTACGTCATTTTAAAGAATGTAATTTATGTGACAAAATACAAAACTTGAAAGAAATGATCGTATAGTACTCGAGAAATCAAGTTTTAACTATACGACTTTTTTAAAATTTGGTAATTCAAAAGCTATTCTTTTTCAATTGCTCTCAAATTTTGTTTTTCGCCATTTAAGATTACATTCTTCATAATCATGTAAAATTTGTATACCTAAGATCCATTCAATTCTATATTTATCAGGCTATCATTAAATAGAATAATAAAAAATAGTAAATATTTATTGAAAATTATTACTTTTTTTTTTAGAATTTTCTTTGGATAGACCTATTTTATAAATGGGGTTAACATTTTTCGATTTGCTATAAAAGTTCTCGAGACATGGCAAAATATACGAAAAGTAAAATTAGCATTAAGGGATTCAAACTTTCGACTCATCTTCTGACCAAACTATTGACACCCTATTTTCCAGATTGCTGCTTTCCTCATATTTTGGGGGTCGGGATCCGAGTCGGTTGAAAATAAAGTTATCTTTAGTCAGGGAAAGCACGATTTTGTGTCGGATTTCGTATCTTAAATTAATGTCAGATATGAAAGTCAGACTTTCCAACCAATAAACTTAAGTCTTAGCACGTGAATGTCAGAATATTAGATCAAAAGTTATCTAGGATGTTCCGTTTTTTTAAAATTTTGTGCACTGTACCCTGTTAGAATTATCATTCTAAAATTACGTAAAGTAACCGATTAAAAGTTGAAGGCATTTCTAATAATTGTCTTCGAATTCATCTTTGTTGCCTCCAATTAATCAAACATGTCTAGTTGTTTATTACATTCACCTTCCTGTACTGCGATATGTCAGATTTCGACACTGCTTTTGGTAATTTTCTCACATAAATATTAAATTTTACCCGCAATGTGTGTGTTTTTTTAATTTTCTCTTTTGGTAAAGAGTCTAAAAATACATATAAGGACCGCTAACGAAAGCAAATTAAGGTGTTTCAACAGTTGAATAATACAGCTAAAATCTTTACAAAATTTAGCGTTAGGTATTCAAAAATTGAAAGGTTTGAGGAAAATGTAATAATAAGCCACATTTTCAGATTGTGGATCATTTTCAGATAGATAGTGAAAAATATCTGGTTTTTCATGTAGGCTATAAGATTTTTCTGCGTATTAAGCTGTTATGTTGTCAACAGTGGCGTTAGTATTAGTTATAATTTTAAATATGACATAACATCATTTTTTTTTTTTTTTTTTTTTTTTTTTTTTTTTTTTTTTTTTTTTTTTTTTTTTTTTTTTTNTTAAAGAACAAATAATAATATAAATCAAATTTTGGTATATAATAGCACAACAAAGTTCAGATTAGCGAAGTTCACAATGACTCAGCAAAGTTCATAATTACTTAATAAAAGTTCATAATGACTCAATAAAGTTCATAATGTCTTCATAAATTTCATACTGAAGTTGCAACGTAAATAACTACTAATCCAAGTTCTTAATGACACAGGAAACATTTCATTTGCATTTCATAATGACGCAAAAAAGTTCATAATGACTTAGAAAAGTTCATAATGACTTAGAAAAGTTCATAATGACTCACAAAAGTTCATAATGACTCAATAAATATCCTTGTGTCTCAGAAACGTTCATAATGGCGAAGTTCATAATGACTTAATAAAGTTCATTTTGACTCCACAAAGTTCATAATGACTCAATAAAGTTCATAATGACTCGATAAATGTCATAATCATGTAGCCCATAATGACTCATTAAAGTTCATGACGCAATAGCATAGTTCATTATGACTCAGGAAAGTTCATAACGACTCAACAAAGTTCGTAATGACTCATAAAAGTTCATAATGACTAGATAACGTTCATAATGACTCAATGGGCTTGGTGGTGACTCAATTCAGGATAATGGCAATCTCATAGTTTACACTCGCTTGTAACAGCTAGTAAAAAGCTGTCTCATGAAGGAGCGAAAACCCTTCTTCTTTTGCGCCAAGCGCTTCTTCACTTTGGAAGACTCCGCCAAAAGTCTCTTTTCTCTTAAATCTATAACATAGGTATGAGGACAACCATCATTTCTAAAATTAAAAGAAAAAATCATTAATAAATCAATAATATAGGTATGAGGGCAATCTTCATTTCTAAAATTAAAGGAAAAAAGCATTAATTAAATCAATAACATAGGTATGAAGGCAACGATTTATTCTAAGATTAAAGGAAAAAAATTAGATTAATTAGGTTAGCCTTGCCTGTTTTCTTTTTATACAATGTTGCATTAAAGTGCTTTTCTGAATTTAATAGAAATTGACATAAATTTTAAAGCGTCCGACTTAACTTCATAAAATTTTCAGACTTATGAAATTTTAACTTGTTAACTTCATATTCAACTATTTTGATCGAGTCACCAAATTTCTTAATGTATCTTAAATTTGTTTGTAAAGAAATCAAACAACAGACGTTTATAAAGCAAAACATAAACGAATACGAACAAAAAAATTTTAACAGCGAAACTATTTTAGGAATTTTTTTTTCATATGATCGAAAAAAAAAACAATAAGTGCATGTGCTATCTTAGAAATTAATTTTAACTAAACAAATTGTTTCATTTGCACATTTTGAAAGCATGTTTATTTGGCATATTATTTTCATCCACCCAATTTATGACCGTGAAATTATGAAAAAAAATATTTTTAATTCTGAAAAATATATTAATTTAAAACAAATCTAATTTTGTTCTAGAGCAATATAATTTTCCTACTAGAATAATGTGTCGAATTATTTCAAAACTCTTCATAAACGATATCACACATTGTTTCAATTTTTTTGAGATTTTTTCACTTGTCACAAACTGTCACAGTTCATCATATATCCTCCATTTCCCTTGTCATTTCCCACGTCCCTTGTCACAAAACACATGCACATCACATACTTCCAGGACCGAAACTAAGCACTTTTGTTTAAAATCATACTTGTGTGCATTAATTACATACAATATTAATGATTATATGTATACTTATTTTATGCAACATAAGAATGAGTTTAATATTAATAAAAAAATTATTTTCTTTAAATTCGTCTTGTTCTTTTCAGTGTAAATCAGTTAAATTTAAGCTACACTGTTAGAAATTTCAATTGTCACAAAGACACAGATTTTTTCACTTGTCACAAACTGTCACAGTTCATCATATATCCTCCATTTCCCTTGTCATTTCCCACGTCTCTTGTCACAAAACACATGCACATCACATACCTCCAGACCCGAAACTAAACACTTTTGTTTAAAATCATACTTGTGTGCATTAATTACATACAATATTAATGATTGTATGTATACTTATTTAATGCAACATAAGAATGAGTTTTATATTAATGAAAAAATGTATTTTCTTTAAATTCGTCTTGTTCTTTTCAGTGTAAATCAGTTAAATTTAAGCTACACTGTTAGAAATTTTTCGGAAAAAATGGTTAAATAGCAATTTATTTAATTGTTATTTAACCACATTCAAATAAAACAGTCAAATAACCGTAAATAAAAGGTATTCAAACTGTTAACTGTGAGAAGAACCGTTTATTAACGCTTTCACCTGAACAACCAGAATTTTATAGCTCCAACAAAACAAACCTAATGAAGCCACATAGTTCTTTGCAACTGCGTACGTATTACAGCCAATCTCATGACCGACAGAACAAGAGTTCGATTCCCAGCGCTGACAGCACAATATTTCTTCTATTCTCTTCAACACATGAAGAGTTTCTAGCGTCCTGCACTCCCCAATTTGTGACCCTGGGCTGTTAGAATAAGATACGCTCGTTCACCTATAGATGTCAGCACCATAAAGCTGTTAAACTATATCCAATGTCCAGTTAAAGTTATTTTCCAGGGTTTTGAAATTAATTGTTAATGGTTAAAAAAACCCGTATTGTATGTTTTTTTACCATACAAATTGAAAATGATTTAAAAACCGTAAAGGTAAAAAATATTTTTTTATCGTAAATTTTACGGATAATTGGATGGACAGACTGCAGCCGGCTATTTTACCACAATTTTGGAATTAAAATTCTAACAGCGTACACAGATATTTCTAGCATGCGAAACCGTTTCGTTTAATCGATTCATTTAACTCAGTGTTTCCCAAACTTATGACTTTTCTGTACCCTTTCTAAATTTTTCGTAATGCTGTGTACCGCTAATAAATAAATGAATGTATTTTTTACTATTTAAAAAAATGCACAAAAGTTAAAAATCACAACTGGCTGTTAACACCACTAATTATTAACTGTTAACTCTGCAAAAATTAGCCAATAAAAAAATACGTAATCGTACATTTTCATGGCTGGCTTTGTTTTTAAATAAAATTTTTTGAAATTTTCGTTTGTTGCAAGATATTTCGCATAAGAACGGTACCTCAGCTAAACTGTTCCCGTACCCCTGGGGGTACGCGTACCACACTTTGGGAAACACTGATTTAACTCTTTGAGGCAAATGAGACACCGGTGTTTCTTTCATAAATTTTTTTTCTGACGCTTTAACTACGTTTAGTAATCTAACTAATAGTTACTAAAATATCTGTTCGATTAATTATATCTCATATTAAAATATAAAAGTTTATATATTAAAATTATATATTAAAATAGAAATTTGTATATATTAAAATATAAAAATTAAGAAAGTTTTTTTTTCCATTCATATTCAAAATTTTATCAAATATTGATTTTGTAAATTAAGAAGAAAAATCAATGATGAACAACTGCTTCTCCTAGATTTAAATATTTACAAATTTAAAATTATTGTTCGGAAGTGAGCCGGGTTTGGAAAATTTTACCTCTAACGAAGAAAAAAAACGAAAAAAAAACCGGTGTTTCAGGCTGTATTTCATAACCATAAATTATCAAAATGCTAGATGAAATATTTTTCACTTATTTTGATCTAAATTAATACAAAATAATGAAAAATAGGTTCTAAAGAAATTCTGCTTCAAAGGGTTAAGTTTCGACAGTGTTGATTAGTGTGAATTCATTAAACAATTTTAAAAAAAGCAGGTAGGATTTTAACTCATTACAGAGTGAAAAACTGCATGCATCATGCGATACGAATTATCAAACCACGAAGAAAATTAAATAAATAAAAATAGCTTAACTGTTATTTCAACTGAATAATTTAAAAATAAAAATTTAAAAAATTGTTATTATATTTGGATGACAATAGTTTAAATAGAATATTAATTATAAATTATACTCTTATAGTAAACACAAAGATTTAAATAAGATAAAAATTGTTTTAATTACCTCTTTATAGTAGCACCAATATCAATGGTGCCTGTCATTTCTTTTGGTTCTTCCAAAGTTGCCTCATCCTGTTTTATTTCATCAATCACATCATTAGGTTCAGTGCTAAAAATATATAAAATAATATATCTTTACGTACGGTAACTAAAGTTAAAGTTTTTTTCATCATTTTGCGGGCTCAAACTATTAATAATGTTAGCTTCATGTTTCATGTGTAATCATGGTAGATTTATACTTCATGTAAGTTTATGTTAATGTTGTTAAACTCAATATTTTTTCATCTTTGTAACAAGAATTAGTACTTAATTTATTAATATTAATTATTTGAATGTTGTTATGCTATTTAACATTATTTTTCGAATAATAAGACAGTAAAAAAGGCAAATCCTAATTTCAAACTTAAATATAGTTTTCTTAAAGGATGGTAAAAAGTTTTCTTTTGTGACCCTACCATTTTTATTTATTTAATTTGAAACTGTGAATTCAGTTGAAAAGAATTATTTTTCCAACTCATAATGTGTGCTAAATTATTAGTAAATTTAAAAAGAACTGTTTTCTTTTCAGTAGAAAAAAATTAAAATTATTATGTACTTTCTTGCTCAGTAAAACTCTTATAAATGCATATTCTGTTGATTCTGGAATTTTCAAATAGTTTACGTTCGTCAAAAATAATTAAATGCTATCAATAGAAATACATAAAAAATTTATACTCTATAATTATAATAATAATAAAACAAATATTTTGAACAGAATAAGTGAGAATTTATTAATAACTACCTGATTACACTACATTGTTAGAATTTTCATTCTAAAATTGCGGTAAAATAACCGGTAGTAGTCTGTCCATTCCCATTAACAGTAAAGTTTACGATAAAAAAAACATTCTTTACCGTTACGGCTTTGAAACCGTTTAGAACTATTATGGTTAAAGAACTATGAATTCAAAATTATGAGGGTTTTTAACCCTTTACAACTAGCATATTTTCAAAACCGTAAAAAAGAAATTTAACTGGACATTGGTGGTAGTTTTTTCGTTAGATAATGGGCATTGGAGTTAGGTTGTGGTTGAGTTGTGTTTAATCGAATGAACCGTGGATTGTAAATTAATTAGAGTATCTGGTTATTTCATCTATCGTAAGAGATGGGAAATACTAGACTTTTTGTGCTAATCAGTTTTATTCTATTCTATTCTATTCTATTCTATTCTATTCTATTCTATTCTATTCTATTCTGTTATATTCTATTCTATTCTATTCTATTCTATTCTATTCTATTCTATTCTATTCAACCACCTATGGGTGAATAAAAATATCGTATTGTAATCGTTTAGAGTCATAAAATTGGGAAGTGCAGGTCACTGAAAACTCTTCGTCCGTTGAAGGGAATGAAGGAAGTATCGTGCATCAACGCTGAGACTTGAATCCCCGTTGTTTCTGTTATGAGATAAGGCAGATTAGCCCTCTAGGCTCCAATATGTACCCAGCTTGGTGCGATAAAATTCTGGTTGCCTAACCTTATTAGGTAAAAGCAGTTAATAAATGGTTTTTTTTACATATAACAGTTTGAATACCATCCATATTTGTGATTATTTCACTGTTTTGCCTGAAAATGGTAAAATAACAATTAAATAAATTGTTATTTAACCATTTTTCGAGAGATTTCTAAGAGTGTAGGATCAGAATCATTAGAACCATTTATTTGATTCTGATCATCAAATGTTAAATGATAATATAATATCTGTTTTTATAGTAAAATTATATTTTCTGTTTCAACTTCATCATCCGAATCAGACATTAAATCATTAAAATTAAAGAAGAAAAATAGACCAAGAAACTAATTTTTTCCCCCATCAGGTTTTTGTTTTATAACTTTCATTTAAAAAATATATTTTAATGTAATTCTAATATAATGTTACTCTAATATAAGATTTCTATCCTTTTCCTTAGAAATATTTTTTTGAATTAGATAAAAACTTGTTATTTTTATTTCCATACTCTTTTTCTTTATATCTATTTAGAACTTTATTTTAGCTTTTACAATTTTTTTTTATACTTTAGAGTTTTGAATTAAGTAGAAAAACGGGAATATTTTACAACTATATTATGAGCGTAGATAATAATAAATTTAATAAGATTTCTTTTTTTTATATAAAATAAGGCCAATCATTCTATATTCTCATTTGGAACTAAGCCAATTGAAATCTTCAATCTGTCATGCATTTTTGCTCGTTAAAACTTCTTTAAATTGAAACTGCCTTGTATATTTGTGTGTATTTATATAGTTTAGACAAATCAGAGGTGAAATCGAAATACCAAAAATCGAACTGCAATTATATTAAATAGTTATAATCTTATTGAAAAAAGTTAGAAAATAATGAGATGGAAATTAGTTATAATAACCTGATCACAGTGGGATCAGAATCACTGAAACCATCTGATTGATTCTGACTATCCACAACTGCCTGATTAGTTTCATTCTCTGATTCAATTTCCTCCTCCAAATCAGACACTCTATCACTGAAATTAGAGAAGAAAAATAAGAAAATTAGAAGAGAAAAAGTGTTTATTTTGGTATCACGTTTTTGTTGTAATTCATATTTAAAAAAATAATGAAACGGGTTTTGCAATATTCATTCAAGTATTTTAAAGGCTAAATTCAAAAGAATGCTTATTCGCTATGTAAATTTTTAATATTGATTTTTAGAATTACATTGTAATTAAAGAATTTTTTTTGTAGAAGAAGCTACTGAAATGCATTTAACATTAATACGCTCACATCTCTATGGTCAAAGGTAGGTTTCAAAGGTTTCGTATGGTCAAAGGTTTCTTGAGCCATCGCAAAAACTTATTTTTTGTTGAATACAATTTTTATCTATCCAATTTAGAAATTCGAACAAATGGAAAATGGTAGCTTTTTGAAACGGTATTATAAGTTGTATTCAAACTATAATAGATAATAATAAATGCTTTGAGAATTTTATTTTAAACCAAGAAATCATCCATGTACGTTTTTGGTCCGTGAAACTGAGACATTTTGTTGTATAACAAGCTACAGAAGTACGTTAAACATCGATATGCTATTTCTATATACTTATAAGTAAGTTTTTTTTAAAACATCATAAAAACTTACCTTTTGTTGTATACCATTCTTATCTATAAAATTTAGGAACTTTATTCAATTGAAAAATGGCAGTTTCTTTTAATTAGTAATATAAGCTATGAACTATAATAGATAGCAATAAATTTAATTAAGAATTCTCCTTTTCTCATAAGAATTAAGCCAATTGAAATCATTCATATACATTTTTGGTCCGTAAAACTAAAGAACTGTAATTGAAGAATTTTGTTGTAAAACAAGCTAAGGAAATACGTTAAACTTTGATATAGTTAAAAGTAAGTTTAAGACAACGCAAAATTTTGTTTTTTGTTGAAAATCATTTTTTTTCTACCCAATTTAGAAGTTTGAATTTAGTGAGAAGTGTTTTTTTATGCAGTTATATAAACTATATATATACTATAATAGATATTAATAATAAATTTCAAAAGAATTTAATCTTTTTCATAAGAAATAAGCCAATGGAAATCATTAATGAACCCTTTAGGCCAGTAAAAACAATTTTAAATTGTTGATTCTTAGAATTCATATTAATTACACAAATTATAAAGAAAGAAAGCAGATAAATGAAACATGTAGAAAATTAATTTAAATACTTGTAAACTTGTTTAATTAAATTTTATGATAAGGATAATAGCCAAAAATACTAAAACTTACCTAATCATAGCAGTTTCACAATCATCAGAACCATCTATTTGATTCTGCTCATTTAGGAATACCTCATGAGTAATATTTCCTCCTTCAATTTTATCATCTGAGTCAGACGATTCATCACTAAAATTATAGGAGAAAAACTTCAACTGAAATGTTCTTTTTCATCAGGCTTTTGTTGTAATTCATTTTTAAAATATTGTTAAATGCTCCTTTTACAGCATTCATTTAACAGTTTTAAAACTTAAATTCAGACATAGAATTCAATAGAACTTAAATAAGACAGATTTCTATTTTTTTTAAATTTCAAGACAAAATTATCTTGCAAGGCAAAATTACCTTGTATAAAAAACATGCTCATTTATACCTCTTTCACTATTTATATGTATGTAAAAAACGATGTGATGTTTTCGGACAAAGAGGACCTATATTATGATTTTAAAAAAATTTCTGTGCTCCAAGTATTCGAAAGGTTTTGAGAACAAATATTGGAATTTGAGAATTGTCCTCAGGATTTGATGATGTCTGGTCACCTTAAAGTCACTGATTTTTGCCTTGTTCTTAAAGTTATGGTCGCTTACGTAATCACATTCTGAGCAGACAAACACCACGTGCGTTCTGTCTTCATTTTAATTGCTGTCAGCTCATAATTCGCGCCTTATGAATAATCAATTACGGTGAAACTTGAGTAGACAGCGGCCAGTCTAAAGCATAGTTTAGACAGAAATCTCCACTGTCTACTTGTTGGAAAATTTCTAGAAACGGTTTGTTTTCATATGTGGTGCTCCATCTAGTTATTCTTTTTCTCATTTTGAACTTGTTCTATTTTAGTCTTGAGTTGATGTTAATTAATTTTCAATCAGTAGGATGGCCCGGTCCATGATGTAGCTTGTTTTGAGCCTAGTTCTTTTTTAATCTATTTCTTGTTTAACTAAATATTACAAACTGAATACTAAAAAGAAGAGTAAAATTAAAATTACCTAGTACTACTATCAAGATCAGGCATATTGGAATCTTCTGTTGGATTAGATTCCTCCATAAATGGATGATAACTGATAGATCTTGATTCTCTTTCATCATCGAAATTGTCTGCTCTTTCACTANAAGAAAGCAGATAAATGAAACATGTAGAAAACTAAATAAAATACTTATTTAATTAACTTATTTAATTAAATATTATGATAAGCATAATAGTCAAAAATATTAAAACTTACCTAATCATAGCAGGTTCACAATCATCAGAACCATCAGTTTGATTCTGCTCATTCACGAATAACTCATGAGTAATATTTCCTGTTCTAATTTCCTCATCAGAGCCAGACGATTCATCACTAAAATTATAGGATAAAAATGTCAACTAAAGTGTTCTTTTTCATCAGGCTTTTGTTGTAATTCATATTCTAAATATTGTTAAATGCTCCCTTTCCAGCATCCATTTAACAGTTTTTAAACTTAAATTCAGACATAGAATTCAATAGAACTTAAATAAGACAGATTTCTATTTTTTTTTAATTTCAAGACAAAATTATCTTGTAAGGCAAAATTACCTTGTTTAAAAAACATGCTCATTTACACTTTTTTAGCTATTTCAATGTATATAAAAATCGATGCGATGTTTTCGGACAAAGAGGACCTATATTATGATTTTAAAAAAATTTCTGTGCTCCAAGTATTCGAAAGGTTTTGAGAACAAATATTGGAATTTGAGAATTGTCCTCAGGATTTGATGATGTCTGGTCACCTTAAAGTCACTGATTTTTGTCTTGTTCTTAAAGTTATGGTCGCTTACGTAATCACATTCTGAGCAGACAAACACCACGTGCGTTCGTCCTGTCTTCATTTTAATTGCAGTCAGCTCATAATTCGTGCTTTATCAACAATCAATTATGGTGAGACTTAAGTAGACAGTGGCCAGTCAAAAGCTAGTTTAGATAGAAATCACCACTGTCTACTTGGTGGAAGATTTCTCGAAATGGTTTGTTTTTATATGTGGTGCTCCACCTTGGTATTCTTTTTCTCATTTTGAACTTGTTTTATTTTAGTCTTGAGATGATGCTTATTAATTTTTAATCAGCACGATGCCACTGTCCATGATGTAGCTTGTTTTGCGCCTAGGTCTTTTTTTGTTTAACTAAATATTATAAACTGAATACTAAAAAGAAGAGGAAAATTAAAATTACCTAGAACTACTAATAAGATCAGGCATATTGGAATCTTCTGTTGGATTAGATTCCTCCATAAATGGATGATAATTGATTGATCTTGATTCTCTTTCATCATCGAAATTGTCTGCTCTCTCACTAAAATTATAAATGCAAAAAAAAATGTCAAGTGCTTTCATCAGTTTTCCGTTAAACGTATTTTCAAAAAAATGTAAAGTATATATTTCATTAACAATTATTTGATGGTTTTACATTTGACAACATAAACTAAGATTTTTTTCATTTCTGCTTTATTTTTTAGAAAATAATGTAAAGAGTATTTCGTTCTTTATCATTTAAAGTTTATGATATAAATAAAGGTTTCTTTCGTTCTGCATTATTTTCTTCAAAATAATGTAAAGTGTATTTCCTCCTTAATCATTTAAAAGTTATGAAGTTTATGATAAAAATTAATATTTCTTTCGTTTTAACATTATTTTCGTCGAAATAATGCAAAGTGTATTGCATCCACTATCCTTATAATGTTTTTAAGTGCATAATATGTAAATTAATATTCCGTACGTTTTATATATTATTTTATTTAAAATAATGTAATAATAATAAAAATTTCTTTAAATAAAGATTTTTAGAAGAAGATTTCATAAATAAAGATTTTTTTGATTTTTTAATTATTTTCGTCGAAATAATAAAGATTTTAAAGTTCATGATATAAATTAATATTTTTTTTCGCTTTAACACTATTTTCGTCGAAATAATGTAAAGTGCATTTCATCCATTATCATTTAAAGATTTTAAACTTTCGAATATAATCAGAGATTTCTTTCCTTTAAATTTTTTATGTAAGTTATTTTAATTTAACAGTATTTTAATTTCGAAGCTACGGTGCATTACACTGGGAGACAAATGTCATATAATACTTGACCTTATCTAATTCACGCGTAGGATTTTCCAGTCTGAAATTAGTTTTGTTCGGAAAGCTAGTGTCTTTCTTTCTAAATGATATTTTTAGTTTAATTTATTTTTTCGTCTGAATGTACTGTGCAAGTTTATAAGGAGCTTATAGGTTAACATGCTTACACATACACATGTTTTCTGTTTTGAAAATAACACTTAACCATAATATCATATAACCTTAACGTGTAGCATCATAAACTGAAATGTCTTATCGCCTTCTTCCTACCACTCCCTACGCAGCAGAGAAGCGTGTGAATTTTTGAAAATCGAAATTGCATAAAAACTGTTGCATGTAGAGAGAAACCGTTTTCAGACTTGAAATCAGCTATGTGAAAGTACGTAAGATCCCTTTTAATATCTTATGCAATAGAGAAAAAAAGTTCCCGATTGTTATGTCGTGGAAAATGTTGAGTATTAAAATTTATCAAAAGTATTATTTGTGTGAACTGTATTTTTAACTACAAAATTGTTTAAAACAAGATTCACCCTCGCATTATTACTTTATGAAACATCAATTTATCCTAGGGTCGGGATAGCCTAGTAAGGCATTGGGCCCATGTCCCAAAGGTCGTGAGTACAAACCCCTCGGACCGAAAACTTCCCGTGTACAGAATGGTGAGTGGTGCAGGTTAAATATGTCGGTGATACAAAATCTTCCAAGTACCCATAACAAATCAGTATCTCTGGGGTTACGGAGATTGATCGTGCTCCGGTTTAGGTCAAAATTACGACCGACGAATGGATATATGGTGTGTGAATGCGTCTTCTCCGTAAAATGAGTTGGGACGTATGTGTGAGGCAAAAGTCTTGGCCATAGATGGCGACACTGAAAAACAATAAGTGTACCCCTCTGCTTTAAAACAGGCTTGTCAGTATCGGAAGTGGCATAAGACAACAACGTACGGGATCATTGGAATATATAATGCTTTCTTATCTGTTTTTGAGGCTTACTATTTAATGTTTTAGATGCCAAATAAATTGACAATAAAACGTGGAAATATTTATGTCACAAGAATTTATTTTAAATATGTAAAACATAAACATCTACATACCCATTATCAGTTCCAGAAGAACTGGAACTGGTGTATCTATCCTCGCCCTCTTCACTAGCTAAAATGGCAAAAGAAATTATGTTTCAACTTAACATGTTTTTGTCAAACAAATGTAAGGGTTGTTCAAATAAAAAGTAGACAGCTTCAAAAATGCAGTAGTGATCGCATCACCACCTTAAGGTTAAGGTAGATAAAGATAAAAGATTAGGGAGTGCTTAATTGATTAAGCAGTCACCTGAGCACATTTGAAGGAATGAAATATGGTGCTAAGAAGGTTTAGCCTGGAAAAAAACTCTATCATAGTACTAAGTTTTCCCTGAAAAAAATGAGCGAAATGCAAGCGTTTATTTATCATTATGTTCGTTGTTTATGGCAAACACTATATAGGAAAAACGGCTGTAAACAAATGGTGTATAAAGTTTTTTTAAGGGTCGTGTACAGTTCACCAAAAAAAGAAAAAAAAGAAGAAAAAGCGGACTCCCTTGAATAACGTTTGCATGATAAAATACTGTTTTACATGATAAAATATAAAACTTCTGTGAAATCAGTCGAAAAACGCCTGAGAAATTGACTTTGAAGCATAAGGTTTTTCAAAATTCGATATTACAGGAACTATACAACTGATTTCGCTCAAATTTAGTATTTTGCCATGTAAAATTACATGCTTTATAATGACCTAAAACATTGTAAACTCTACAATTTAAATTTTCGTCGATTATTATTAAATAAAATTAATTATTATAAACTATTATTAAATAAAATTTTAAATGCTCCTTAAAGATAAAAAAAAGAGCATATAATTGATAAAATGCATTTCTGCTTCATTCTTTTAAAAAATTGAAATGACATTTTTCCAGAAGGGAAAAAACATGGTTTCTAAAATATTTTGTTATGTTCTATTTAAAGAACTCCTCCCGCCTCAGACTTGGGGGTTGTTGGCTGCTATGGAAACAAAAAGATGTTCATTTTTTTGGGGTGGAGGGGAACTTTTAATATTTTTCTCCCCAACTCCTGTCAAAACTTGTCTTTAATTTTTACGACATATCCGTAGTTGAAAGAGTTATAACTCGCAACCATAGTCATTGATAGTGCTCCAGAATATTGGTAAAGGGAGTTTTTCAGTTGCGCAGATTAAAGTCTTTATTAATACCATTATTGAATAGTTCCCATTTATTAAATTATTTTCTATTGAGAAGGAAATATGCTTTAATTTTACGCAAATACTTCATTCTTTTTAAAGCACAAAAGAATTTTAATCGAAATTGTGGATGAAGTGAAGGAAAGGGTTTTCCTTCGATTGTGTACTGTAACTTTGAGCTTTTAATATACACAAAGTTTTCCATTTTCCTATTATTTCTATCGATTTCGTATTATCAGAAAGTCTCACTTTTAACTTATTTTTATCTGTTTTCGGCAAAAACATTAAAATTAAATTGCCAAAATAAGAGGTACAACTAATTATAATTTACCAAAACATTACATTGACTATTTAGGGTAGACTATAGGTGAGGATGCTCCCGCCAGGTTATGATCGCGATTGATCGCTAAGCTGGGCGATATTGAAAACCAATCGTGATTCTGATTGGTTTAGATTTTAATCGTGATTCTGATTATTTTAGAATTTAGCGTTGTTTTTAAATGAATTTTTAAATGTAATTTCAGAGATCCGTTAGTTCTACTTTGGATACCGGCTGGTAAGGTTATTTTTGATTCTGGTACTAAAAATGAATACTGTCAATAAGATAAATCTTAAGTTTCTGTACGATTTTAATAACAATGAAAAAAAACAGAGATTGACTGGTGTATTAATGAAGGTTTAATTAGAAATAGATATAAATGTCCTGTTTGTGGGTTACCACGGCGTTCCGGGCAAACAAGTATGGCGCCAAACATAAGTCGCCAATTTCGCCAAGGGGCACCCTCAAGTATATTTTTCCCA